CTGAAGATGGCCAAGGTCCCTGACTGACACACATCTCATATATACAGTGTAGCACCTAAATTAATGTACTTACTGCTTTCAATATATACAAATATCAAAACACATTTGCCAAAAAAAGAATAGAAGTTCACATTATTTCAGATAAGTGCTAAAACTACCACAGAAGTCCAGGGACATGTGCCCTCCTTTTGTTTGTTTGTGTTTGTTTGTGCAGTGGTTGATATGTGAATAGTGTGCTCATTTCTCTCTCATGTAACCCACTGGTCAGACCTTCCAGTGCTGAAGGCTGCTCTGCTCTCTGTGACATGCAAACACATCAGTTAACACCAGTGCACAAACAACACTCATAGACACGTTAATAAACGTGTGCATCCGTAGACTCACAGCTACACTCACACAGTCACACATACACCTGTGCACATTCATAAGGCATGTCAAAGACAGCGGAGTTGGCTGAAGCAGGTTATAAGTCTGGCTGGCAGGCTGCATCTCATGGAATGATGCTAACATTCTCTCCCATTGCTCTCTCTCTGCTCACCTTGCATGCTCCGCCCTGCTGCTCTGATCTGATTGGTCTAGAACTGACTGTGCGCCCAGGAGGGCCGGACGACTGTGTAAGTGCGCATGGAGCTCATCTCATATTCGTCAGCTCCCTGTAGTCTCTTCATTTTCCAAACCTGTGTGCTGCCTAGCTACCTTTGTTCTAATACACGCTTTAGTCCAAATCTCACCCTTATCAAAAGTCGCTGACATAAGCAGTAGAGGGAAAGCATATCAGAGCTGTTAGACACCAAGCTAGACAAAACTCTCATGCTAGTTATAATCTCTAATCCATCCCTCTCCACCTTTATGACCATCCTTTTCACCATTAGATCAGTAGTATACTAATGGCCACTCGTGGACTGTTTTCACAGATTTATGCTTCTTTATTTTTCAAAATAGGGTCACAAATAAAACAATAGATAATCCAGCATTTTTTGGACTTGAAAGAAAGTGGAGTGACTAATGGTATAGCATCTGCTGCTACAGAACTGTCAGTTTGTTGTAGTGCAGCTCTTCCTCTACATGCTGCAGATGGTAAGATAAGCTCGGTTGGTCAGTGGAACCCTAGATGGTAGTGTTAGGGTGATTTTTATTTTTCAGTAGCCTTACTGCATTGAGGTTTTACCTCTAAGGTACACTAAGAGTGAAACATTTGGAGACACGTTCCCATTCAATTCAATGGGAAAGTGTGTCAAAACATTTGACTGTTAGTATAAATAAGTACTCATTTAATTAAATGAAGCTGAACTTTGGAAACAAATGCTGCTCATGGCCTTTATTGTAGCATCAGTTTAAAAATGCTGTTATAGTTATACACACTACTGCTTTGTCATACAAAAGCATTTACTGTGTGTAATTTTACTTGAATGAGAAGTAATGTGCAATGTGAAGCTAAAAAACAAATGAAATTCAAAATCTGCATGTTTGTACTTTATCACATTAAAATGTGAAACCAATGCTTTCAGTTTAGTTCTATCTGCAGTGTCACTGTAAAACAATACATCTGTTTGATACAGTAAATATGACCTAATTCTAAGCCTTTAGCTGGTTGTGCATCACAGCAAACACAAAGTATGCAGTGTGCCTTAACAGGAAGTAGCTTTTGATTAGATTCATGAGGAATAAAAGCTTTCAGTAATGGTCATAAGAACTAAGTATAGGGTGGGTGTTATTGAAAATGGAACCTTATTTATAAATACATATATTCCCTGGTACAGTTAATGTGTAATATGAAATCATGATCTCAGGTGATGTTTTCATGAGTCTGTAATAAGATTTTTACCCAGAACAGTAAATGATCTCACAAGCTAAACACTGTGATGTGAGGCCTGCTGTCTTTTGAAGTCACTAACCTCTAGCTCACACTGACTTCAGCTTTAAAACTAACAGCATTTACACATACTGTATAACCCAAAGCTTTGTCTCCTTTTCTTCTTCTTTGTTTTAACATTGTTCACCTTCAGCTCCATTTGTGAAACCTTCTCTTTGTCTTCTATTTGTCTCCACCAGACTTTTCAGCAGCCTAGGCGAGCTCCACACCATTTCTCAGAGAAGTTATGGCACTACATACACCATCCGCCCTGGCAGCCGTTACCCCGTCACCCGACGTACCCCCAGCCCAGGGTCAGGCTCACCTGATCGGGGTGACCCCCTTGGAAGATTCTCAGGCTTTGGCCTACCAACCTCCCCGACTACACCACCACAAACCATTCTCAAATCCTCAAGTCTCAGCCTACCCCAGGAGCCTAAAGAAGTCCGCTTTGTAATGAGGAGCTCCAGCGCCCGTTCCCGCTCTCCTTCCCCGTCACCCTCTCATTCCCCTGGCCTGGGATCACCACTTTTAGCCCTCCGGCCATTTCACCAAAAACCTCTCCACCTCTGGAACAAGTACGATGTTGGTGACTGGCTGGAGAGCATCAATCTGGGGGAGCACAGAGCTGGGTTTCAGGAACATGAGATTGAAGGCTCTCACCTCCCAGCTCTAACCAAGGATGACTTTGCAGAGCTGGGAGTGACACGGGTTGGACACCGCATGAACATTGAACGAGCACTCAAACTGCTGCTAGAGAGCTGACCCCTGCCCTGAAACACAGCAACAGCTGCAAAGAGAGATGAAGATGGAATGGGCACGAAAGCGTTGATGAAAATACAGAAAAAAGATAGGCGCCGCTCCTCTTTTTCTCTGGCTGCTTTTATGTTCTGCATCACAAATGTTTACTTGTGGTTCTCAGCAACACTTTGCGTTATCCATTAATACGCCACACTGAAGAGGAGGAGCCTAATACATTCATCCCCCTCTACTCAGCCCTCAGTGTCTGCCCTCCTCCTTGCCTGCAGCCAATTAGATCAGACCTCAAGATGGGTACTGGTCTTTCTTTGCCGAGGGAAAACTGCATGAGCTCCAATTAAACCATCTGATTGGTGAAAGCTTCAGTTGTTCCCTCAGTAACACCCACACTTTCTCTCTCACTGCTCTTTCCTCTCCTCTCTACCTCTATCCCTCTATGTATTAGGCCCCTGGAAGCCTTTTGCAGCTTGAGTCAAGGAGGAGGAAAAATCATTTTTGTTCAAAACAGAAAGCTCAGTTGCCTTTCAAAAATATTTATACAGAGATCATCATCATATGTGATGAACACAGGACTATGGACATAGCTGACACAGCTCTGAAAAGGTGTGTCTTCTCTACACCTGCTGTTGTTTTTAAACCGAAGACTTTAGAGCCCAGAGGTGGAGCTCCACAAAGTAAACCACAGGAGAAACCCCCTCCGCCTTGGAACCCAGACTGTGCTATCTATTATATTTGGAGAATGTTTAACCAACACTCGTGGCTTTTTTCACAATCAAATTTTTTGGTTTTCCAAAGGGAATATTATATATATAGGTATTATATAATATGATGTATATGTATCTACATATAGCTATCAGAAGAAAAGACAATGTTGCAAAGAAGAAATATAATAAATTCCTCTGCACGTGTTTTTGGTTTTTAGTATAGAAGGCAGAGAGAAATCTTTAAATTTATTCCACCAATAGTTTACTCACTTCTACCAACTATATAGGAAAAAGTATATAGATATAGAAATGAATTTTACGTCATAAGTATACAATTTCCTTATGGTCACCCTTTCTTGAACTGTAGCATGATGAGTTGCATCATGTCTTGAAGAGAGTTTGTTGCTTGTTTTTATTTTCTTGGGTCTTCCTTCATACTAAAGGGCATCCCGTAATGTGAGCCTAAGACCTCAGATGACACCCATCCCTACAGCTTCATCTATAGATGTTACTGACGTGGTTCTGTCTCTCACTTAGCCACCAAATGAGACAGGTAGTTGTTAAAAGGGGATCTTCATCTTATGCCTGTTAATCATTCAGGGGTGGAAGTTTGGGACACTAGCATGGAGAGGAGGTTGTTGGCTGTTGTTTTAGTACTACCCATTAAAATTCTGACCTGTTAGGACATTTTAACACCAAAACCGTATGACAAATGTTAGAGGGCTAGTAAAAATTTCCATCCCTGTAACCCCTAAGGATGCTGCACAACATCTGGCATAATGAAAGAAGGTCAACAGAAGGAAACCCAGGATGTTTCTCAGCAGCAGCAGAGAGTAAATAATCATAGGAGTGCCAAATAGCAGCAATGTTTTGCAATTTAATTTCTCATCCAGAAAGAAGCCATAAAGTTTTGAGTGTGTGAACCTGGCTAAATTAAGCTTAAACTCCTGAAAAAAAAAAGCTAATATTTTTCCTTACCTACTTTTACCTGGAGTATAACCACCAGAAACCTGTCATACAAGGGCTTAAATAAGCCAGACATAAAGTATAGGCCCTTCTAATATGCCACGGCAGGAAATTTGTCTAATTTATCAGGCTGTGGGGATAAGAAAGTCTCTGTAAGGTCTTAAAGAAAATTCAGTATTTTATAACCTGGCAGTGTCTTGCAGTTTCACTGCTTCCCTGTACCTCTACAATATACTTAGTGAGTAAAATGTTATCACAGATGATGGCAGCCAGAACTCTAAAAATAAGACCCAGGTTGTAAAAAAAACTGACTTTTTTTTTTGTTGAACAGTACAAATTTACAATTGTACTCATGAGTAGCTTCTGCTGGCAGTGAGTAACAGTGAGTTTTATTCACACAACATAAAATAGTATTCCCTCTGACAGAAGGTTGTCATCTCTATTGCCAGTAAAACCTCTGTACATCAACAGCAATTGGTCAGTATGCCAAGGCAGTTTCACTTGGCAAGAGTTTGTGTGCTTATTATTATTTTTTGCTAGCAGTTTGTAAAAACGAGTGGTGAATATGAAGTTGTATCTGGGTTGTACGAATAGCACTCACTGCCTCACTGTGACCTTACTGAGTATTTTACTTCTGACTTGTGTTATGTCCACAGACTCATTTGAACTTTTTTTTTTTTTTTTTTTTTTTTTTTTTTTTTAAAAAACATTTGGTGTAGCGTGTGAAACATACTTAAATCTGTCACTCATTTGATTTTTAGAATGGCAGAAAAAAGGAGAAAACTAATAATCCTGTCCATTCTAAATGTACTTACACTTGTAAAACATGAACTACAAATATTTGCTTTTTTAAAATCTCGAGCAATGTATATATGATAGATTTCATATAAATTTTGGAAAGCAAAAGTATATAGATCTATATATGAATGTTTGGCATATATGCATAGTTAACCACCTGTGGAAAAGGTGAGCAGATTTTATTCTTTCTATGAACTCTTGAACTTTTGAACTCTGAACTATGAACTAGGGGATTTGCACAAAACAAGGTGACAAGGTGCTAACATAAAAGCCACCCATTGTCCAAGCGCATGTGTGTATCCACTGTAGATTCCCTGAATCTCTCTGTGTGGTTGTTCCTCTTCACCACGTGTGTTTGACTGTGTGTAAAATGCTTGTTTCCATGTTGTATTGTTTGAGAGGGAGGATGAGAATGTGACAGTGAGAGAGTGTATGGTTGATTGTTAGGGTTTACATGTTTGGAGTCCACTATAGCCTTACTGTATTACTATCAGAGATTCCCGGCAGCGGCTGTGTCTCACACACACACACACACACACACACACATGATGCATACACACAAGAAAAATGCAGACATGCATACAAATTCAATTTCGGATTGAACATCATTGTTTTACGTTCTTATTTTGTACTGAATGACATCTTTAAAAAGTGAACTGCCCTGCTCAAGAGGGACAGACAGGCAGAGAGAGATTACCATGGGGTACTGAACAAAACCATTGTCACATTTTATATTGCAAGACAACTCACAACAACTCACTTTGCAATTGTGTAGGTATAGCTTATGCAGTGTCACTGTTCTGTAGTTACACCCACTCCCTAATGGCATTTGTGCTCCTTACCCTCCACTCTGTCTGGCAGCACTCCTTTTTCCTTTTTCAGACCTTCAGTTTCTGAGTTTTGGATATGTTATATGAGGTAGCCCAGTGCAGAAAAAAACACAAAAAGTGTGCCAAAAAACAACTTCTAACTCTGTCTGTGTTTCAGGACCATCTTAGTTACAGCATTCATTAGCTGTTGTATTCAAGATTATGGTGCCATCTCCTGGATATCTTGACAATTACAGATATTAGATTCTGCTGTATTTCCTAGTGGTGGAAGTACAGTCGTATATATTTCAACTGGAAAACCTTTCCAAAATTATTATTCAGTTTGGCTTACTGTTCCTAAATAAATACAACTAACAGTTCAAACACAAACACTTGAGACATAAAAGTGTGCAGTCTGGACTCACACAGTTTGGCCTCGTTAGAAGAAACAGTGCTGTTATGAATACCTGATTGGACTGTTTTATAAGTTTACCACAAATGCAAAATGAGCTATGTGTAACAGACCTGCACACCATTAGATCAAATTAGTTTAGTGAAGGGTTATTTTTCTTATTTTTTAATCAACAAAGCACAATCTGCATAGCGTAGGGGGAACGTTGTAATCTTTTTAAAAACCCACTGGGGTCTGGTCACCCACTGGAACCAGTGATCTTATCAAAGGGGTTTTTCTTTCATTGTTGGGTTTTCTCCTTGTTTGCACTGTGAAGTTTAGAATGGTGGATGTATCACTGCAATACCTCAGCCTTGTCTCACAGGTGAACTTCCCCTTCTCAGCATCTGTTGACCAGTCTCCCAGTGACTTCTGGCCACTCATAGGATTAGAAATACCCTTCATTTGAATACATGAAAGCCCAAGTTGAAATAAAAGTTATTCAGAAGCTACCTAGTATTCCTAATGCAGCAGAGTAAGGGTGATAGTGAAGGTTGAGGCAAGATCTGAGATGTTGCCCAGGATCTCCACCACAAAGATATATGTTTGTTATATTATGTAATAAATTTATAATTAAAACATGAACTACGGAGACTGAATTCTTGGTCCTGCTAATTCAGTGTCCCAGTGCGAATTATGAGTAAACGTCACATAAAACCACCAAATATAAAGACAAAATATACAGTAGGTACTTGGTTTGTGTACAATGTAATCATACAGAAAAACTGAATTGTGTATCAGCCTGTACTACACTGATTTAAAGTCCTTCATGGCAATGCTCATGCCAATATGAATGAATGCGTGAACTACCTCAAATCTGAAACTGGCACAAGAGTACAACAGCTGATGTCCACATGTATATGACTGGCAGTTGTATCTTATAAAATGCTGGTGTGAAGTTGACTACTTAGTGCTCTTGTGCCTACTGCTGAATCACACAAAGTCATAACTTCATTTGATTACATGGTACATTAAGTTTTCATTTAAATGATGCTGAAAAATCAACTTTACAAAGCAGCCAACAGATGCAGCTCTGTACTGGCATTGCACACAGCACTTTACAAATGCTAAGAACAGCAGCAAATACAGCTGATATTCACATTCTCTTGGCGAGTGTTTTTAATGATAACATTATTTCATGACACAAAGTAACTGGTTTTCACACTTAAGCAAACATTCAGTCTCACTGTAGAATTTTCTATTATAATAGTACATGTTCGTTAGACAAAGTATGAATGACAACACTAAAATAGCAGCTAAATGAACCTGAACAACACCACAATTCCTCAGTTTTTAATGTAAATTAAATAAATTTTCCTGCCAGTGTCACTGGACAGATGGAGCGCAGTGACTTTATCCTGACTAAAAGATTGTTAGCCATCCTCCAGTTGTAGAATTACAACCCAAGAGTATAAAAGCAGACCTCCAAAATGACATAAGGACAAACAATATGTCTGTTGATGGTGTCTGTCGCTAAAAACCACAGATAAGATATTTTGACTAAAAACAATCTATTTGCAGAATCAACCCCAGAGGGGGATAAATTACCCATGAGATGGCGAGAGGGTTTGGAGGATCTTTTAAAATCTGTCAAACCAACTCGGGAGTCTTTGCTTTCAGTTTGTCCTCTTCTGCTTCTGAATCATCTTCCTTCTTCTCCAGGTCAAAGTTCTATAAGAGGAGTCACAATTATTTAAACAACTCATTTCAGCAACAAAGCAAGAAGCTTTAGTTTAGACACTTTCCACATGAACTAAAACATCATCAGAAATGTAAATTGTGTTGAGTTCATGACTGAGCCAGTGGAATGATCCAGGTTTTAAGTAAGCATTTGGGGGAAAAAAAAATCTATTAGCAAAACAACAATGGCAGATTAGAAACCGATTAAGAAGTTTTGTGGAGCAAGTATCGCACACAAATATTTTTCACTGTTTGCAGTAAACACCATTTTATTGGAATTGGAGAAAGTACACAAGCTTAAAAGATGAGCACATCAGTAAACGGACTTGGTGTTTAGAGAAATGTACCTCTAGTTCTTGCAGTACTTCATCCATGAAATCGCTGGGGTTTTGCTTGTAATCCACTGCTCTCTTGATCGTCTCTCTGAACATCTGTTGTGACAGTTATAAGCAGAACTATCAACACACACGGGCAGCTCAAGTGGTCTGAATGATTTCTACAATTTTACTAAACTATAGGCAGAATTAATGTGATACTTTGGCCTAGAAAAAGAGTCCTGTTGTAACCTCATGCTGTCAATGACTGTCTTGTAAAATTACACACAAATTATAAAATTACTAATGACTGAAATGCATGAACATCTGGAATAACTGACATTAATACTGCAGGAGAATAAACAAAACATCAAACCTTAACTACATTAGTCCCATCAGCTGCAGATACAAAGTAAAATGGGAGTCCCTGCTTCTTCCCAAAGTTAAAGCTTCTTTGAGTCACCTTCAAATCAGCTACACACAAGAAAAAAAAAAATCCATCTGTAATTCTAGAGTTAACTGTGATGGTCAAACAGTGAATCAAATAGAGGAAATGAACAATGTGTGAAAACATACTTATTCTGCTGTAACTTTAATATTGAATAGTCGTAAGAGCTAAGAGCTGTACTGTATATTCACTGTCATGCACAGTGTCATAACCAGACTCACCATCAATTTTGTTTGCGACCACACAACAGGGTATCTCTGGTCTGTACTCTCTCAGCTCCTTATACCAGTTGGCCAGGTTCTTATATGTGATCTTTCTTTGAACATCAAAAACCTTGAAGAGACAGTACAAAAGGGTTCAGCTTGCTTTTCTGAGTTCAAGTGGTGAAATCCAACAATCATCTGACATGCTCTTGTTGCCAGTGCCCTGTTACAGAATCAACATTTTCATTTAAATCCCGTTATACGACTACTGTTGAGTAATATTTGTGTGATAATCTCTTCAAGGTCAAGTGTGAAAGCAAAATCTTTGCCTCAGTGGCTCATCTCAACTCAAATGCACTGTGATACTTTATCATTTCTTGGAAAACATACAACGGACAACCAATATGTAAGAGGGTTGTTACACAAACAATAGTCCTTACTTTTCTGAGTATAAGAGTTTAATATTCTCAGTTCCTGGCAGGAGGCAAGTAAAGGAAAAGGAAGGCTAAATGATTACTGAAAGGCACCTGGTTGGATTAAAACACTTTTGAAACTTTCTTGTGTGTGTCTTACCATGATGCAAGCATGTGCTTTGTGGTAGTAGGATGGATGCATGCTCCGAAACCTCTCCTGACCAGCAGTGTCCCAGAAATCTATGGATCAGAAACAAAAAGCCGTCCCTGCAGAAACAATGCAAAGCCTGGTCCTGGCTGATCCTGCTCATGGAAGCTTTATGGGTGATTGTTTGGTAAAATTATGCTATCACTGGGAGCAGAACAAAAATAAATCCACAGTACATACCGACTACTGCTGTCTTGTTTCCCACAGAGGCTGTGTGTTTGTAGAGAGTCAAAGCATAAGTTGACAACTGCTGGGGACGACTGCAGAAAGAGTTAAGGATCTTTGCCTCTCAGGACAAAGGATCTGCTGCGTTGGAGACAGCATGGTCGTGTGTAGACAGCTGCTGTATTGGTCACGGCAAGATGGTATTATATGAACTATAAAAATGACTTACAGATACTGTTTTATTTTAAATTTCTAAAGCTGCAAAAGGATATTATTCGTCCATGAGAAACCTCTCCATCAGCCTGTCAGAGCGAGAAAGAGTTAAACCATTGCGTAATGTTTGTTGTGTGACAAGTAATGTAGTCAGGAAAATATCATGAAACACAAAACAACAATGAGCCAGAGTATGTTACAACTAGGTTAATACTCACTTAGATTTACCGACAGCGCTGTCGCCCAGACAAATGATCTTCACTTGTTCCTCTGCATCGTATTTTTTCTGGTCCAGTTCAGGGATGCTGTCAATGTCACTAGCCATTCTCCACTTTTGCAGTTTGTATATATATTTATTATTATTATTATTTTCACGTGGATACTTGTATTGACAAGCACGTATCGTGCCTAAAAAACGCGATACCTCCCACAGGAGCTAGCAACCGGTGGCTACTGACAACGACAGTGATATTAGCTAGCTTGCCATCGGTTACCTGCGGTTAACATCGTGTGTCCGCTCGGTACCATTTATTTCACTGGTTCGTCGGTCCTCGCATCAAACCAAATTGAAGGCAGCTGGAACTGTGAATAGTAACGTTACAGATATGGTCACGTTTTCTTCAGCGCACTTGGAGAAACGGTTGCGAACAATTAGTTGACACCCGGCTAGCACTGTTGTATGATCGGTGATGCCATTTACTAACCAAGGGTGCGTTTTCAAATGTCGTTGACGGTTCTGAGTGTATTATTCTCATATGATACAAAGAAAAGTTTAACGGCTTTCTTTACTCATACAGAACCCACAAGTATTAAGCGTTTGTAGATGCCGTATGATGGTTTTCGTTTCTATGCAACGAGACGCTCGAAGGACCTCTTCATTGTTTCATGCCGTCCTTACATGTGCCTGTCAAAAATGCTCTCAGATTCAGTAGATAAATACTTTTTGGGCGCATACAGTCATTACACAATGATATTTTGAAACAGTAACCAACAGCCATATATAAAATGCAATACTGAAAATGTTTTTTTTCTCTTGGAGGACATACAGGGTCACAGAGATTTTGAACTTGTAAAAACATCTTCAATAGCCTATGTATAGAATGAATTTTACATGTAGAAACATTTTGACCGTGTGTAAAAACAAACTTCAGTATTTGTAAAAACTTGTTGAATGTGTGAATAAAATTAAACACAATAGCAGCAGTAGAAGAAAAAAGAAGGAGGTGGAGGTGGAGGCATTTGAAAGGGAAAAGAAATGAACTGGATGTACAATTTTAAATAACTCACTTAAAATAAGTGGAGAGAGAAGAGTTAGAACATAAGTTAAGAATGTATGGCTTGGACGAATTGACTGAAAAGTTAGGCAAGTTGAAGGAATTGGGACAGGTTTGAGAGTTTATTTAAAAACTTTAAAGTAAGGCTGGGCAAGTTAAAGCGTTAACCTCGCGATTAACGTAATATTTCAATAACGCGGACAATTATTTTATCGCGCGATAACGCAGTTTATTTTTATTATTATTGTTATTTTGAAAGTCAGTCTCTCCCTGGCTCTGAATACACATGCAGACAAACCGTGGGTCACAGGAGGGATGGGATGTTGTTCAGTACTGGCTTGAGATGGTCGTCATCATGTGTCTCAACCAATAAGAGCATTTGGGGCGGGCCTAAGACAGGAAGTGGAACCGAATAGAACTGGCGGGACAGAAAAATGGAGAAAGGTAAGGCACTCTTACATGGACATTTTCATTTTAAATCTCTTCCGCACGGCGGAGTTGATAGAACCAAAGTCATTTGTAGCCACTGCAAAGCTGAATTATCTTATCACCGGATCACTACGAGTCTGAATTATCACTTAGATGCAAAACACACCATTGATGCCAGCAAATCTCCGACCTAAACAAACAGTGGGGGGAGGCTTCGGCAGACTACGTTGGGTGTAGCGTGTGGGAGAAGTATTGATAAACAAAAGCAAGACAAGTTAACAAATGCCATAGCTGAGTGGATAGCTACAAACTGCAGGCCGATTAGTATTGTGGAAGATGTGGGTCTGAGGAACATTATTAGGATCGCAACCAATGACAGCACGTATGAGCCTCCCTCAAGAAGCACCATCACAAGAAGAATACACGAGTTGTATGAAAAGGAGAGGACTACAAAATCCACGGCGTTACAACGTGCACCAACTGTTGCTCTCACTGGAGACTACTGGACATCGCTGGGTAAACAATAGTTACCTCGGAGTTAACAGCGCATTATACTGATGAACAGTGGGAGCTCACACACACCGCCAAGATTGTCATGCCAACTACAGCTGAAATGGACAAACTGCAGAGGCTGGAAACGCTACTGGAGCCCTGCAGGTATATTTTACTTCACATATTTCTCACTGTCCTGTCTGAATGCATATGAGAGACAAATAGAGTTTCTGTATGTGTGTGTAAATATAGCATGAATATGTAGAGGACATTTTTGTGTGGATACAAGTAAGTGAATGCAATACATTTTGACTGAAATTGGTTTGATTTTTTTTTTTTTCTGTTACAGGTATGTGACTGAACTTCTGGGAGGAGAAAAATACGTTTCATGCTCTGTGGTTCTGCCTGCTTTTTGCCATCTCTCTCGGGTGATGGAGACCTCGGATGAGGACCCTGCCTACGTGGTCAAATTCAAGTCTACATTCAGAACAGACCTGGAGACACGCAAGGAACGTGCCAACATTGCATATCTGAAGATTGCTACCACATTGGACCCAAGATTCAAGGACCTCAAGTGTATTACCTAGAGCTCAGAGGGGTGAGGTGTGAGGTGTGGGCCTCAGTCACCAACTTACTCAAGGAACACAGGGTTGTTGCACAGAAACCTGTGGAAGCAACAACATCAGAGCCACCAAAGAAAAAGTTAGCCTTATTGGGTGCTTCATCAGAGTCTGATTCTGAACAGGAGGAAGACTCGGATGAGAACAGTGTGCGACGATACAGAGCGGAGCCCACCATCAGTACAGAGGTCTGTCCATTAGAGTGGTGGTCCAAACATGCAGGCTCACACAGCAGGCTGGCCTCATTGCACAGAAATACTTGGCCTCAACTGCAACATCCGTACCATGTGAAAGGTTGTTTTCTCTTGCTGGTCATATTGTACAGAAGAAGAGAGTTTATCATCTGAAAATGTAAATGACCTTGTGTGTCTGAGCAACTGGCTTGGTGTAGAGGAGTAGGAATAAGTCCCCTACACAGTAAATCCCAGCTGTGTACCTTTTTTTGTGCTCTTCCACTTCACCTCACTCTAACAGGGACACTTGCTACTGAACATTGACTGTTTATGCTGCTCCCTGATCAAAGAAGAAATGTTTCTGCTGGTATCTGTTCAGAAAAAAGAAAGAAAACAGGTTTATAAATGTTGCTGCCTGTTATTGTGGCTCTGGACTCTGATGAGGATAACTTGTTTTTCTATAACAAACTAAATAAAACATTAATGCCCTGGCAGTGGCAAATAGCTTTGGTTTTATATTTGATTTGATTACATCGTTTGAGATTTGCTGCTACTGCGTAAAGGGAATGCTTCTGTTAAAAAGCACCTTATTTGTTTAAAGTGTTTGCAAACCAAATGTTATTGCACGTTTGTTCATATAGCTGCTCATATCAATGCAGTTAATCGCTGTTAATCTCAGAAAAATCATGTAGTTAACTCGATTAAGGATTTTAATCGTTGCCCGGCACTAGTTATATTATATTGCTATGCTTTTCCATTGCTCCCCTTTTGTTGCTTGAACTAATTAGTCATCAGTGTGGCTTTTGGTTTGGCTCCAGTTATCCTTGGGTATATTCGAGACAGGTCTGTTGGCTATTGTTTGAAAATGAATATATGCATAACGGGTTCAGGCCCATTTTCCATGGCGTGTTTCAGGTCAGGTAAATTTTTGGACCGGTGCTGACCTCTACGTTGCAGTGTCCACTCAGCAATATACACCGATCAGGCATAACATTATGACCACCTGTACATCTGTATGCACTTCAGTGTCACACTTCTGCCTTAACATTTGTGTTTATGAAGCTCAAAATATTTATTTTTGGTGAGATTGTCAAATGTATAAATTCAGTTATGTTCATTAGAGGTCATAGTTTAAGGTGGAGTTACACTGGACTACGTTATATTCAGAGGTGTTCCTAATATTCTGACCCTCATGTATGTCAATGGGCAGGACAAAATATGTGACCGGCTAGCACTGTGGCATTGTAGTGCATAGAGATGTACAGGTGGTCATAATGTTATGCCTGATCGGTGTAGAAAAGTGTGCTCAATAAATAAAAGCTAAAAGGCAATCAACGCAGTCCCTGGTAGGCTAGTGGTTAAGGAGCATCGCTTTCATCGTTGCGGCGTGGGTTCAAATCAGGGTTGCGTCAGGAAGGGCATCCGGCGTAAAACACGTGCCAAATGTCAACATGCAAATCGTCAGTGTTACGATTCGCTGTGGCGACCCCTAAACGGGAAATGCCGAAAGTGACTTTCTTAAAAGGCAATCAACATCAGGCAAGGCAGGCTTATTTATATAGCACTTTTAAAACACAGACATTTCAAAATGCTTTACATAGACAAAGAAAAACTAATGGCAATAAAATCAGTTAAGACAAATTGAAAATACCGTAGATGTGATCAAATAATGAAGATAAAAAGGTATTAAAACAGTGCAGAAAGTGCTTAAAAACCAGTCAAACAAAGGCACAGGAGAATAGTTTTCAGTTTAAACTTGAAAAGGGCCAGATTTGGGGCACATTTAAGGTCAGCAG